TCCCTCTTTTAAAGCCTTTGTTACATATTTAAAAAGACAATCCAAAAATCTGAGTGATGTCGGTACTCTTGTACTCCTTGATAAAAGGCGTGAGTTGTGTTATAGCTCTCCACAGACTCTTCTCATGTTAGGAAGGATGTATCTACTCCTGGGCACAGAGGGACCACCAGTGGGTATCTGTTAGATAAGTAAGTGATGCTACTGGCATTCTATTTTCTGGACAGCAGCATGCCGGCACAATAGAGCAGTTCAGACTGTGACCTTCATCTTTAGAGGCACCTTTAAAAATCCACCCCCCTCACTGTATGTGCGTGTGTGTGTGCGTGTGTGTGTGCGTGCGTGCGTGTGTGTGTGCGTGCGTGTGTGTGTGTGTGTGTGTGTGTGTGTGTGTGTGTGCACTTGTGTATCTGTGTGCCAGGTTTGTTTCTTGTGACTGTTATTGAGTGGTGGCAGCCTGCATTAGAGTAATCACCTGTAGGGAGGTATACATAGCCCATCACCCCATTTACTCACCAGTCAGGAGGCACTACAGTCATGATCTAGGTGGACTTCTTAGATTTTAGATCATCAGGGATCTTGTATAGGTCTTTTTCACTCCTGGCTTATTTGTCATTATCTTGCCTTCAGGTTTTACTCCAAAAAGTAGCCAACAGTTATCTTAAATCTTTATTAATATTTCCCTAGAATATTCTTTGTGACTAAAGGAAAATACCAAGGACTGTCTGGTTACCCTGGTCTTTTGCCTCATTTTTAGGGTAGTTCACTTTGACTATATTTTTTGTCGGTAAATTATAGGAACATAAGCATTTCTATACATGTAGTTTTGTGTATGTAAGTCTAGCATGTTGGTGTGTTGCTTAGAATATTAATAAAAAGGCATGTGCATCTGAAAGTTGAAGAATATGCTCAATTCTCATGCCTTCAGCAAACATTCTTTACTCCAAACCTGTATTATAGATCCCCTGCTTTTAAAATGTTCTAAAAGCTTTTATTATAATGGAACAGAGCAGCTGCTCTTAATATGTCCCCCCATATAGTTTGATTAAATATAAACAAATAAGTTTGTTCCCTTGACTCATCAGTTCTATGTAATCGCCCTTTATAAGCAGCCGCATAGGTGTCTTGAGATTTCTTGAAGAAGGGGAATGACCCAGGTAAAAATTAGAAGAATGTACTTTAGCTTCCCAAGCAATATTCCTATCCTAGATGGCAGGGAAGAAAAGCCTTCAAGGCAGCATCAAGTACAGACATGGCAAAGCTCTTGTTTAAGTTTGTTTGTTGCTTTTTTAAAATCATGTAGAAGATGCTTTATATAGCACTTTATAAAATGAAACAAAAGGAAAGGGGAGAAAACTGCATTTGAGAAGACAGAGCAATCTTAGGCTTCTGTCTGTCTTCATTTTTTGAGTCAGGGTCTCCCTAAATGCCCAGGAACTTACTACATAGATCAGGTTGGCCATGAACTCACAAAGATCCCTCTTCTTCTGCCTCATGAGTGCTGGGATAAGATAACTCTATTAATCTAGTGTCTATATTGAATGCTATGTAAATTTTATAGTTGACCAATCTCTAGTCCTACCTACCCTCTACCCAACTTTGAAATAACCCAGTTATTTTATCACTATGGATTACAAGAACACCACCTTTGACAAATTAAGTAAATGATTAAAAAAAATAATGTGAATTTAAAATAAATCTGAGATTCAATAAATTTGACTCTGAATACCACCTTTATATGTTGTTTAATTTGATCACATAGACCACTACTGAAATATTGGGGGGAAAGCCCACTAAAACCCATGTGACGCTATTTGTGTTTTGTTGTCCTATCCCCTTTTTATCTCTTTGCTTTTTGGTAAACTCTGATTATTGAAAGAATCCATCCATTTGAGATGGCACAGTTTCTTTTGTCCATTTCTCTTCAATGTTTGATTTAAGGGCTTCAGATACTCATGCATGCCTGGATGATTTGCAGGGGTGCCAGGGTGTCTGCTGAAAGCACATCTGACAGGGTACTGAGAGCTGGGCAGAGCAAGCTAGAAAGTTACCTTAAAGCTTATTTCTTGGTAGAGATGCTTTCTGGGTACTGTATTAACAACAGAACAGAGGCTTGTGAACGTTATTGAGGAACTCAGATCCTGAGTGGAAAGATTGGAATGTGGCCCTAGGATTAGATAATTATTGTTAATCAAGTAAGTATAATAATGAAATTGATTATGAAAAAATCCTTCTTTTTATCATATGAAAAATTAAATTTAGGAGGGAAATATAATATCTGTAATTTCCTATAGAGTATTTAGTGAAGAAAAAAAAGACAATGGGGCAAATATGAGAAAATGATAATTATTAACCAGAAGTGATGTGTGCAATCCTCCTTCATCTGAAAATGTCTATAATAAATAATGAAAAATACTGAAAACCTCGGTATCTACTAATTTAATACTAAAAATGCTGCATATACCTATAAAATTGAATTAGGATGACATGTTATGTGCGTATATAAGAAAGTGCTTAAAGTTTCCCTGGATTCATGAGCAGTGATTTAGTTCTTAATAAATTAGGAACTTATAAATGGGTATGTAATAGAAATCCTGTGTAAAAATTATTCATTTTATTTTTATTACCTTTTTAAAATTATAAACATCAATTTTCAAGAAAAGCATAATAGATCCCAAAAGGAAAAGAAACAAACCAAAAACAAAGTAAGAATTATTTATCTTTACTCAGTTAAATACTGGAAAACTTTGGGGTTCTGATCCAAAACTATTTGAGGGTCTTGGATTCACAGGTGAGAACTTTAGAAGGGAATTAGAGTAGCCAACCCAGATATGGTGGCATTCTTGTAGCTGTACACTCTGGAGGCTGAGCCAGGGGATCACCAGGAGTTGGGAGCCAGCCTGGGCTGCTGAGTAAGACCCTGCCTCAAAAGAAAGAAGGACATAAAGAAGGGAGGGAGGGAACGAAGGAGAGTAGCCAGTATCATGGAACAAGTTAAGTGACAGTCCAATGGTGGCCACACGACTTCTAAAAGAGAATATGTGATGATTTAGCTTGTAATATGTTTTGAATTAGCACAATAGTGTGTTTTTTTAAAGTTCTGTGTTCTGAAGAAGTATTATTACTACAGCAGCTATGTTCTAAATCACAGAGCTGTATCACAGATTGTGTGTGCTGTGTGACTTCCATGAAGACAGAAATAAAAACACCTCCAAAAGTGAAGGGGTATTTTGGGGTGATATCTGGGTGCTGAGTCCAGATTCAGTGGTGTTGATTCCTTGCTGTAACAAGATGTTGCCCAAATTTACAAAATTAAAACTATTAGAACTGTCTGTGTAGCTCAGTGGTACTTACAAGCTTAGCAGACTGGGGCGGGGAAGATGGTGGGGTTACCTGCATAACCCTGAGGCAGGTGGGGATCCTTCCAAGCCTCACTTCTGTATATTTAGGGAAGAAGATGCGTTTTTCTGGATACCTGCTTACTTTTCAGCTAATGAACATAAATGGAGCTGACTTTGAAGTAGTTTCACAAACAGTTTCACAAATTCAAAGCCACCATTTGAAAACACTTTAAACTTGTCGTCAACATGGAGATGCTTTCAATTGATCTGAGCCAATGGTGATCTTGCTCTTTTTAAACTGTTGCTCTGCTGGTAGCAAAGCCTTGCTAGGTGCTAGAAAAAAATTATGAGAGAATTGCATCCTTGATTCCTTGTAAGTTGTCTTTTAGCAAGAGAAGAAGTGTAGGCTCCATGGATAAACATCCTGGACTAAGAAACACGAGATAGGGGCTGCTAAAGTATTAAATTTGAGCACATCCCCCGAACTACCGAGGCATTAGTAAAAGGTGTTTCTCATTAAAAAAAAAAAAGCTACACTACTTCCAGGTTCCAATAGTAGATTTTCAACTAATTACTGACGTCAGTGTCTTCATGGGCAAATTGAATGACCCCTGTTAAGTAACATGTGCTGCCATATCATCAAACACTTTGGTTTCCAAGGAAAGAGTGAAGTTATCTTTTTAGTTTTGCTGAATGGATTCATGGAGAAAGAAATGAATTAGATTGAAGGGGGCAAGCAAGGCAGGACTCAGTGCAGAGAAAAATGGATATTAAATTATGTCCAGGAAAATTTTCTCAGAAGTACAATGTTCATCAACTGCATTTTTTTTAACATTGTGAAAGTTAAATAATATGTAAGGGGAAAATTATTATATAAATAGCATCATGGATGGGAGATGAAGTTATGTCTAGAAGGTTCATTTTGGTTGATAAAGAATGATTAGCAAAACTGACCCAAGGTGCTCTCTCTGTGCACTTATAGGATCTCTGGTAGAGCTTCCATAAGTCTGGGTTCTGTGGAGTTAGTCAGAAAGTAAATTTTCAGTGAAGTCTTTTGCTAAATCATCACTGTTTGGGAGGGGTAGGGAAGGCAGAATGACGAGAGACAGCAGGAACACATATAGAACAAAGTCCAAATGTGGGTGCTTCTGTGGAAATACTCCAGTTTCTCTGGATCATCATGGCCACTTATAGAATGGTAGAGCTAAATGGGACTTTGGAGCTTGTCTGGAGCAACCCCCTCATTTTACATTTTACAAGAGGATGGAAGCTTCATGAAAATTGGCCAGGATTTCAGCATAATGAAGCCAGGGAAGCTGGTGGTATGCTCCCAGGGGATTTTAAGTGAGGAAGAAGGGAAGAGGGTGTGTGTGTGTGTGTGTGTGTGAGAGAGAGAGAGAGAGAGAGAGAGAGAGAGAGAGAGAGAGAGAGAGAGAGAGAGAGACAGGGGACAGGGATCCTTCCTTTTCAGAGTGATGTCCAGGTAGGAAAGCAAAGTAGAGAAGACAGGTGATTTTGCCAAATTAATTAAAAGAGATGAAATTAAAAGAGGGATTTTTTTTTGGTGGATGGGGGAATTATGTAATTTTATGCTTCAAAATCTAAGGTTGGTTTTGTAGTTTATATTTAAAAGTTAATAAGGGAAACTCTGATTATTTCTAGGAATTTAGTTTTTTACATGGAAAGGAAGTTTGGGAATTTGGCAGTTCTGCTGGATCAAGCAAATGAAGGAATCATTTGCAGCTGGTGCTGGACCTGGTAAGTAGTTCACACTAATCTGTTGCTGTTTAGAACCAGTACAGCTTGGCTTTTAAAACAATCACTCTTAACGAAGCATATGCTTAGTACTTTGCTTTCAATTGCGGACTGTCTCGATAGGAACTAATGAGTCAGATTAATGTGGCATGGAGTCCTGAGCAGAGGACGGGGCAGGATCTTTTCAGAAGGTTGGGAATGCTTTGCCTAGTTTCCTTTACAATTATGCTGGCCAGGGCTGGGTTGGAGGGCGTCTTTCTGAAGGTTGAAAGACCCCCTACTGTGCCCGTTCCCCCAGTTACAAAGGCATTGGGTTCCTGAATGGGGACCACTGTGCTAGTGTGCTTGCCTACTTTGTCTGTTTTCCTAAAGAAAAAAAAGTGCTGAGGATGAAGCAGAAATGGGAATTTTGTGGCTCTGTACCCACTTATGCCTTATTTTTTGAAAAAAAAAAAAAATCATTTACCTGCTATATCTGTAAAAAACTTTAAAGTAGGCTTTTAACTTGGCATTTTTAAAATTAATAATAATATTATTGCACCAACGTCTTACTAGTTTACAGTAGGCACTTTGTAAAAGTTTGAGACTATTGAAAGCTCTCCATATTGTAACCCTTAGCCCTGTTTAAGGGCAAAGCCTACCTCTGTTGCTGGAAGAATGGCCGGGGAAATGAACAGAGCTGAAAAATAAAGCCATCTTAGCTTAGTCTTTCTTTTTCTTGACTTTGGATTGTGCCTTCCCTGTCTGCTCTTATTCTAGGGTTTGCTTGTGCTGGGTGATGGAATCAAGTAGAAGTGAATAAATTGAGATGAAGTGTGGTTAAATGTTAACTTCAGCATGTGACCAATAGAAGTAGCAGTACTTAAATATGTGTTTTGGATGGAGAAACGTGGTGGGTTACACTGCTTTGGCTAGAGGCCTAGGTTGGGTCTGTGAGTGGCCAACTTGTCTACCCTTGAAAAAGATTTCTGCTGTGCAAATACAAAGTTGTTTCATATAGATCACATTCTTTGAGAATAGTTAACTGAGATAATCCAAGGTTGCATAGAATGACATATAGGAACAGTATTGTTTGTTTTGTTATTCGTGTCTGTCTGTACAGAATTCACATGTTCTACATTGCTCTTGAAACATCCAGGACAGTGTTGACAAAATACCATCTGTGCTGGTCAGGGTCAAGGCTATGGTAGGCATTCTTTCTTGTGGCCCAACTTGCCTGAGCTCTCCAATTTAATATACTCATCTATGTGAGAACCCTCAAATGAAATGCCATGTCAGACAAGGTGAGCAAGAAATTGCCAGAGACTGCAAATTGGTTATATTCAGAATAGGGAGAAAGAATCTTAGCCAGGTTGTATTGTATATCCAAATTTGATGAGAATACGCCATCAAATTTAGGGGAACAGAAATGTTAGGCAAATTTTGTTTGTTCTATTTTTTAAAATAAAAATAAAGGAACTGAATGTTGTATGGTCTAGTTGTCCAAAGAGAAGAATGAGAAAACAAGTCTTAGGGCCATCATTAGGAGAGGGAAAAACCCAACCAGGAATAATGATCATTTCCTTTCTCTAGTATTTGAGGTTGCAGGCACATCCCAGAAATAAAGGAGGAAAAGGAGGTATTTGAAAGTTTTCTGAACAGAAAGGTGTGTGTGTGTGTGTGTGTGTGTGTGTGTGTGTGTGTAAGGCAGGTGAGTTAGTTACTACAAATCAGATTCAGGAGAGAGGGGATTATGGGGCGAAAGAGATGGAAAAAAAACTTTTTAAAAATCCAGACTAAGCCAAAAATCAAGGAATATTTAATATATCCACCATAGAGTATGAGACATTTTCAAGATTTCATTTTGAAGAAATTTATGTGGGGCTAGAAAGACAGGTTAAAAGTTAGACATTTCAGGCTTTGGGTTTTTTATTTCATTTTTATTTGAAGTTAAGTTATAAATATTATTTTTTAAACAGGCATTATTATGTATTAGAAAACTTGTGAAGACACATAAGGTTAGTTAATGATGAAATATATTAAGAGGAATTTAAAACTGTGGAATCACGAATAAGACCCTTTACTCCCCAGACATGTTAGTGGCAAAATAAAATTCAGAACAACTGTGGGTATGAGGAACTACAAAGCTGTGGTAGCGTTGTAATAAAATCTAAAACAGAATTATAAAAAAAAGTCTCCAGCATTAACTATATTATTTGGAACCTTTTTTAATCTAACATTAAAATTCAAAAATTCAAATATCCTTCAACCCATTATGATTTTTCACAGGACAGGGGTGACCATATTCATTTACTTAGGTTTTTTTGTTTTGTTTTAATTTCTGTAGGAAAATATCACAGGTTTTACTTCTAAGAACCTGTGAGGGTTCCCTTTCTTTCCTTCTTTCCTTTTCTTTTCCTTCTTTATTTCTTTTCTTTTCTTTTTTGAGATTTTATTTTAAGCTAAAACTTTCCTTTTTTGGGTAAGGAGATATTTTCTACTCTTTATTTATTAGTTAACAATGGAGCATTTTAATCAAAGAGTAACAAGTCCTTCCACTTTGCTTGTCCTGATTGATGGAAAGCACTGAAATAACAGAAAGGAGGAATGTTAAATTAAATGAAAGTACTTAACCAGAAATCTCTATTTAAAACATCAGTTTATTGGTTAAAGAACTGATTATTGGTTAAAGAAAACAAAACAAACAAACAAACAAAACAAACCATTTTGCTAGGTTTTTGTCATAGCACAAGATTCTCATGAGGAACCTTTGAAAAGTATTTAAAACAGGACAAAATTAAAATGAAAGTTATATTTACAGTGCAAAGTCAGAAACAAAGAGGTTTTGTTTTTAGATAAATTATCCTAAACGTAAATGTCGACCAATCAAATAATAAAAAATACTATTAGGGTGAATTTGAAAGACAGGTCCTCCCTTGAGAATCAGGCCAAGAAATTCAAATTAATTAAGGTTTGAGCAATAACAGGGGAGATGTTTAAATATATTCTAGGGAATAATTGTTTTGAAGAGTCAGAAGATAAATACAGATAATTTGTTTAATCTGTCAAAAACCTCCAGTTATGTGTGGCCCCTTTTCAGATTTTGGTAATTATGTTACAATAGTACTGTAAGATAAAAAATAGACTAATTTTTGAACATATTGTAATATCAGCAACCCATTGTACTTTTACTAATACTTTTAGTAGCATGATTTATTTATGTGAATGATATAACTTCCATGCACAAAAAACCCCAGATGTTTAAAAACATATAGCCTAAAAATGTAGTTATAGTATCTAAAAAGACAACTTAAAATTTTGTTGAGTATATTTTAAATTAAAACAAGATAGAGGTTATAGAAACCACACATAAAATTTCTTGCAACTATGAAAGGCTGCATGTTTTAGATGCAGCATCAGCACACATTTAAGAGATGAAATAGGTCCCTATGTTTATCTTCAATTAATGTATAATTCTCAAAAGTACACAAGATAATCTGGTAATTTCAAATATATTAATACAGTTAGATGTAAGTACTTTGAAAAAAATTTAGTAGAGAGTTTAAGTTTTAAAATAATACACATTAAGAATTAATATAATAAAATAGAATTTAAGAACAGTGGTAGAAAAAGTAAATTTCTTGGTATGGAGGAAAAAAATCTTCATTTCCACAACAAAACTGTTCTCTTCCAATAAAGATATGTTTATTAATATCATATCTACAGTGTAAGGCTCACTTTAATTACTTAGACAAGATATATTGAGCTAAATTGTTTTTCAAAGAAAGACTGTGGTAAACAGAAAATAAATAGAAAATTTTCTATTGTAATTCTTACATAAAGTTCTTTAATACAATAGCTTTAATTTTTATTGTTACAGTTAAAGCAAAATAAAATAGATTAATTTAATAGAAGCTATGGTTTCATAACCCTGAGAGGAAAGTTAGAAGCATGGATAAACATATGAAATTAGTTTCATTTCTTCCTTGTTTCTTAACCTTTCTTATAAATCAAATACTTAATAGTAAGAGAATGATATATAAAATATGCATCAATTATCTATGTTTTGGCAATTATTTAAAAGTAGGGGGAAAATGAAACTTTGTCATGCTAAATACTAACTGAAGTGCTAAGTGAAAATCAGAAAAATATCAAATCTAAAATAGTATAACAATTCAAACTTCAAAGACACAGACATTCATAATTTTTATATTTTAGTATGTAGTATCACATTTGTCATAATTGTTTATGAAAGTAGAAATTGAAATAAGAAGGTAAATGATGGACAAGGATTTTCTCATTGTAGTTTACTAAATGTAAAAGATATTAATAAACTAGCTATAACATTAAGTAGGGAATCACTTAAAATAGAATTTGAAGAATTTTACTGATGATGTATCTATATAACAAGGCTTTGTGAGGGAGGTTTTGTGTGTATAGTAGGATTTCTGAGTTTTGTGACCTGAAATTCATGATATATTTTGAATGCCCTTTCAAATTGCAAAGTACTTCAGTGGGAAAAATAGACATTGTGTACATTTTACCTTATATTTGGGAATAGGAAAAACAACAGATATTTTGGAATAATACTAGCTGTTATTTTAGTGCATGCATTAAACCCCAAACAATTGTTTTGTTCCTTAGTCAGTTACCTGTCTGGGAATGTTAGTTTGTGCATGTACATCATGAACTATTTAAGTTATATTGATATAATAATTTCTAAAAAAAATACTTGTTATTTTTTATTGAAATTATAGCCAACATATTAGAAGGAAATGTATTTAAAACTTGTATTTTCAATTAAATTGAAACAGATTTTGAAAATGTTCATTCATGAATAAAACATGCAATTGTGCAGTTTCCAGAAAGAATGAATTCTCAGTATATTTTTAAAAATCTTACAAGAGTGTTTATTTGTTGTTTTTTTTTGGCATTCTAAGTCAGGGGGGGAAATGACATTATATGCTGTTGTTGTTGTTGTTATTGATAGTCTTTCTGTGGAGAAAGGGAAATGTTGTTAGCAC